GGCGTGAGGACGGCCGTCCCTGAAGGTGCCGCCGCTGCCCTCCGGGCCGGGTGGTCGGCGCTCGCCGCCCCGAGGCCAGGGCTTCGCAGGCGGAGGCCGAGGTGTAGAGTGTAGAAGAACTTTGTAGGTAATGTGCTTTGACCCGAACCTGGGGCGTGTGGACCAGCTTACCCCTGCTACAGTCCAGACTTTATTTTGTAGGAAGTGAAAGTAGTTTTTATTCAACAGCGCGTTTACAGGTCCCTTTCACACTCACTCAGCATCTTTGTGTTAATGAGTACTGTCTTGGTCGGCTGCGCCTTGCAGAACGGGTTATAAAGTTACAGCGGTGGTAAGGGAAGTCGTCATTTGGAATCTATTTTGTCTCCTCCGCCCTGCACATACGGGAAGGAGAGGAAGAGCCCCCTTAATCCTCAACTCCCTCTGGGCGTTTATTCCCTGTTACAGGCCATTTCGCTGGCGGTTCAGCGGTGGAGAACTTCAGTCGGGCAAGAAGCCGCCTTGTACGAGGTTGGTAAACTTCCCCAACCCTTGCAGTGAAGCTGAATAGTTCCCTGTGTTGGCCATGTTCAAACTGTGAGGAACCAATTTTTGTTTTACTACTTAATGTGTGTGATAAATACGCTGTACGTTTATTTCGTTCTCTCGATCCTTTTGGTCGTGCTATGATAAACGTTAATCTCAGAATCACACAAACCGTACTATATCATGATTCTGAAGAAGTGATAAGCAGGAGAAAGTCCAAAGTGCAGAATTTTTACAGAAGAAAATGTCAGACAGTTGTGGGCTTAGCAAGGTGAGACTATGGCCAAGGATTATTTGGTGGAAGGAGAGGAAGGAACTAGGTGGGAAGAAGTTGCGGAAAGATCTGAGGCGTAGCAAAGAAGTGAATTGCTAGAAAGCAGTGGGAGAGGAAGTGAGAAAGGGGCGCCTTGCCCTGGGAGTAGACCAGGCCGGCACCTCTCTGGAGGGCGGGTGTTTGCAGGCCGTGTGGCGGATTGGCAAAACTTCAGGGACCTGGGGAAGATTAATTTTGATTAATAAGCCTTTTGTTGTAGTTGGCTGTTGGGTACAAGCTGTTCAGGAAGTCAGTCATGAATTCAGACCTGAAGCAGAAACTGGAACTGGGAGGGTTTTTGTCTGGCCTGGCTAGAGGTAAACAAAGGGCATCCTACGTTTTCTATCAGGGCATTCATTATGGCCATTAAAGAACCAGCGACACAGGGCTCAGGTAGAATATAACTTGTCACAGATGTCTGTACACAAAGATCTTAGGAAACTCACCAACCCATTCAGGAGTTCAGTGCTAGTCTTTGTAAATCTATAACAATAGGTGTAGTTTTGATAGTATTTGAACACTTGGGTTTCATATGCACTATGGTGAAATCTTCCAAAGTTTGGGGAGGAAAATCCAAATTAATGATATCTAAATTAACAACGGGTTTTTTTGTTCATTATCCATTACAGGAAACAAGATTCTTTTTTCCCTACCATTGAAGGTGCTAGATATACTGACCAAAATGATTGGCTGAAGCAAATAGATCTTTTCCTTTGTGAAAAGATAATTTTCCAAAAAAGGAAAGGGAGGCTAAATCATGACTGTCACATTCCTATAGATGAATACATATTGAAAATTCTTTCATAACTCATCAGTCAGGTAACTGATAAGATACTAGAAATCAGTCTGAAGAAGCACGGACACAGTTTTTGTTTTTGTTTTTGTTTTTGTTTTTTTTGTCTTTTTGAGACAGGGTCTCGCTGTGCAGTTCAGGCCAGCTGGGGGCTTACTTTGTACCCCAGGCTGGTCTCGAACTCTCAACAGTCCTTCTGCCTCAGCCTCCCGAGTGCAGGGATTACAGGCGTGTGCCACCATGCCCGGCTAACAGACACAATTCAAATGATTGAATTACCTGCAGGAGTGCATCACCAGCTGTAACACATTTATAAATTGTCTGGGCATCTCTTTAAATGCGGATTCTGATTCAGTGGGTGTAGGGCAGGCCCTAAGATGCTATTACTACCTTAGGTCCCAGTGAATGCCAGTGCAGGATCATAGATGATAAATACCAATATATTGCTGACTGCTGATTAAGGACAGGTTAGGCAGGTTGTCATCATGGAAGAACAGAGCCCTGTGCTATAGGTGAAGAGAACAAATGTCTGTTTAAATATTGTAAGCTGCAGGCCAGATCACAAACCAAAATGAGCAAAGAAACAGTTGCTAGGAAACAGATCCAAAGCAGAACTTTAACTTAGACAGCTCTTAGAAAGAGCTGGAAATGAGGACACTGCACAGGACAACAGAGGAGGAGGGACTGGAGAGTAGTTTGTAGAAGGCAGACAGTGACCACTTAAGATAGACCACTGCTTGAGATTTGTGCTTTGTGATCGACCCTGACTTTTTTTAGCAGGACCTGAGCAGACTGCCTAATCATGGTTCAGGAAGCTAACCTGCGTAGGGCTTTAAAAATACAACTGCCTGCGCTTAGATGTCTGCCTTTTATCCTGACCATTTACTCAAGGGAGGGGTATTGATATGTCAGTGAGTTTTAATCCATGGGCAAACATTTCTTACTGCAGTAGACAATATATTTTCTATCAGATAGGATATTCTAGTTTTAAACTCAACAGTTCCTATAATTTGTTCAGAGATAACTTAGTTTTCTTTTAGTGAAGGTAAGAGACCTAGCACTAAAGAAAGAGCTCTACTTACTAGAAGATGCAGAAAGTGGTATATCAGCTTTAGCAAACAAAAGTACAGAAAGCTCAGTTCAATTTGAATTTCAGACAAGTAATGAATTACTGTTTAGCAATATTTGAGGCATAAGTACAGTAAAAGTTACTTGTGCATTATCAGAAATTCAACCTTAGCTGAACATTTAGTATCTAGCAGCAGTTGTAGATAATTCCACCCAGCAGTGACTTCTGAGAGATAATTGATTGGAAAATAGAACATTTACAGTAATTATGCAGGTAGTTTAATTCCTACAAATCTTCCTTCAAAAATTGTAATAGTGTTTCTGTGAAAAAATGGCTCCAGCTCAGAGGTAGAGTGCTTGCCTGGTATACACAAGACACTGGGTTGGATACCCACATCACACACACAAAAAAATTATAATACTCCAAGGGCCTGGGCTTGGAAAAATTAATTTACTAAATCACAAAATACTCATCAAATGTAGATAGGGTAGCCCCAATTTGAGCACTAAGAATTCATTTTTTGAATAAAAAAAGTTACTGATTAGTGGTTACCAGTTGTGATAGTTACCTGCAAATAGGATCTGTGGCATTAACAAGACTCTAATTTGAAAGTGGCCTGTATGTCTGTACATAGGTGAGTGGATGGAGAAACTGGTATTTATACACAGCAGAGTACAAGAAGTTTGAGTCATTTGTCAGAAAATGGATGCATCTTGACACCTTTCTGTTAAGTAAGTCAGACACACAACCTTATATATTGCAGTTTCTCTTGTATGAGAAACTCAAAGTACCAATAATTTAAAGACCAAAGCATAAGGTAGGTAATAGGGAATAAGAAGATAAGTCTTTTGCGTATGAGAAAGGGGACCAGGAAAGAGATGAGGGGGGAAGAGGGGAAAGGAAAGTATAAACTATTAAGATGTGTCACATGTATGTACCTACTCCCCATGAGGAATGTAATCATTACGTACTGCAAACGTGAACTAATAAAATTTTTTGTAAAATAAGATACTAACCATTAGCAATTTCTGTAATTGGTACAAGATGGTTGATCTACTTTCCCTTGTATTGACTCTGAAGGTTAGGCCCTGATCCCAGTTTTGCTAAGATGTGTTGCCACATAGTTTGTCCTTCTGTAACTTATCTCGCTCTTCCTCTTTTCTGTGCCTTAGTTTATCTTAACCCAGTTTTTCTCTATGAAGAGAAAAGGTGTAGTAGTATGATACAAGCCATTTTATTTCATGAGATTGGGTCCTGTATTTGCTAAATTTTTAAATTGACTAAGATAAAAGAAGATACATGCACAGTTTCAACTGGATTTACAACTTTGAGTTAAAATATTCAATAACATTTAGCACTTTAACATGTTTTTTTAGCTTTCTAAATTTAGTATTTTGACTTAAAACAGCAGTGTACATTCACCAGTCTTTGTCACAGGAGTCGAAAGCCTTTTCTTTGTATCTGGTTCTACTAACTGCTGTGTCTCTGCAGAAACCATCCACATCAGAAAGTTTCCAAGGTTTCTTTTTTCTTTTTCTTTCTTTCTTTTTTTTTTTTTAAACTAGGGAGCAAAGCTTAGAAACACTTGCAAAATTGAGAATCCTAGATTTCACGATTCCCCACCACCATCCAGACTTCAACGGTTTACATCTTTTTTTCAGCAGGATTTTTTCATGTCATGTGTGTGTTGTACCTTCTCTTTTGTTTTAAATTACCATGCGAAGTTTCAGACAGCATGTATGCAAAATAGTGGGCCTTGTATACCTGTAACGAGACACTATTTTCTGTAAATCTGTGTGGAGGAAAATTTCCTTCCTCCTCAACCTTGTCCACACAGTGACTGTTACGTTGTGCGTATTTGAGTGTGTATTCATGTTTCACCCGTAAATCTTAGATTCTATTTCATGTGTTTAAAATTTTACGTTAAGGATATCTTAGATAATTTATGGCAGTTTTTTCCAGTAATGAATTGACTTTGAGGTTTACCTGTGTTGACTCCTGTAATTTATTCATGTCAGTTGTTATGTAGGAGTCCCCTGTACAGTAATGCACGTTTCTCAACCTGTGGTACAGTTAGGGTCTCTTATTTTCACCAGCTGAGAGTCCTCGTGTATCACTGGCTCACCTTGGAGAAACACTTCCTCTGGAGCACAGCACCCAGAAGTGGAGGTGCAAGGCCCAGAGTGTGTGCACTAATTCAGTCCTGCTAGAAATGGCCAGACCCCGCCTGAAGCAGTCGAGGCACCTTCCATCCCTGGCAGTAGAAGGGGAATGTTAAGAGTCACCCACAGCTTAGCCCACACAGGAATATCATTTGTTGCTTTTTTCAAGCAAATGTTTGAGAAATAGCATTTGATTACGTCTCTGAGAACTGAGGTGTATTTGTATGCATTTATTGCCTTGTCCTCTGTAAATTTTCTGTTGGAAATTGTTTAGTTTTCCGTTGGGTTTTATTGTCATTTCTAAATCAACTTTCAGAAATCAGGAGCTTTTCAGATACTTGGCAACATGACCTAACAGTGCCTTTTAGGTTCGGTTTCTCTCCGCTAGTTACACACCGATGAGTACCACTGGCATATAATCAGATGTGTCAGGCTTTTCCTTTGACATTTGCTTTCTTGTTTGAAAACTTTTCCCAACTACTACGTCATATAATCTTCTGTTTTCTTGTAAGCAGTTTTAATTTTTCTTTTCATGTGTAATCTTTTAATCCATCTGTAATTTATTTTTATTTGTGCAGAAGACATCTGATTTTTTTCCCATATGTTTAGCGGATGAAAATCCTTGCCACATTAGTGTGTAATATCCATGACTTCTAGTACTGTTTGTCATACCCAGCTCCTCATCCATTTGTATATACTGTCACAGTATCACACTTCTACTTATAGCTCAATGGTACGTCAGTAACTTTATTTTTCTACAAGATTTTCTGGGACCTTTACTCTTTCGTGTAGACCAGTGTTCTAACTTCCACTGGAGTGGTGGGTAGAATGTCTGATGGGATTTTGATTGGGATAGCATTAAATATGTAGATGAATTCCTGGATAATTAACATATTTACTGTATTCGGGCTTCTCAAAATGCCTAGCTTCATTTATTTATGGTCTTTCATAATTTGCTTCATAAATATCTTGCATGTTTTCCATAAGATATGCTGTGTGAGGTCTCTTACAGTGGTTTTAGTTTCCTGCATCCCTGCTAAATTCTCTTAGCTAGTTGTAGTAGTTTATTGAACCTCATCATTCTCTTGTATTTGTGTCATCTTCGTGTGTTTCTTTCTTCATTTCAAACCTGTACCTTTTAATATGGTCTTAAATAGAAGCTGTAATAGTAAGTGTTCTCTAGTTTTGATTTTACAAACAGTGCTTCTCATACTTGATGAATGAACATAATATTGTTCAGCCAGGCATGGCAGCACATAGAGACTGAGGCAGGAGGATCTAAGGCTGAAGGCGGCTTATTGAGGCCTCATCTTTTTTTTTTTGTCTTTTTGGACAGGGTCTCACTGTGCAGTTCAGGCTGACCTTGAGCTCACTTTGTAGCCCAGGCTGGCCTCGAACTCAAAAGGATCCTCCTGCCTCAGCCTCCCGAGTGCTGGGATTATAGGCTTGCGCCACCACACCCAGCCTGAGGCCTCATCTTAAAAAATAAAAAGGTTAAGAATGTAGATTAGTGATAGAGCCCCCATGGGTTCCACCCCTAATACTAAGTAAATGTTAATTGTCGACTTCTGGTAAATACTTTCTATTCCTAGTTTTCTGGAAGTTTTCTTTTAAGCAAATGTTAGTTTTATCAAATGCTTTTTCTGCTTCCCAGATAAAAGAGTTTACAGCACAAACCTGTCTTTAATGCTTTCTCTAGGGTGATCAGCATATGACCCACGAAGGTGAGACCTCCAGACAGAATAGCACGGGGAGAATTTACTTGAATCCAGAATGATGGATCCGTGCTCAGTTGGAGTCCAGCTTCGCACCACAAACGAGTGCCACAAAACCTACTACACTCGGCACACGGGCTTCAGGACTCTGCAGGAGCTGTCATCGAATGACATGCTTTTACTTCAGCTCCGCACTGGGATGACGCTGTCTGGGAACAATACGATTTGCTTCCATCACGTAAAAATTTACATTGACAGGTTTGAGGATTTGCAGAAGTCGTGTTGTGACCCATTTAACATCCATAAAAAGCTAGCCAAAAAGAATCTGCATGTCATTGACTTGGATGATGCCACTTTTCTGAGTGCAAAATTTGGAAGGCAGCTGGTGCCTGGTTGGAAGCTTTGTCCAAAGTGTACACAGATCATCAATGGAAGTGTGGATGTGGATTCTGAGGACCGCCAGAAAAGAAAGCCGGAATCTGATGTATGTATAGTAGTCATTGTGTTCTACAGGTGACATCTACAGTGTGGAAGTTCAACTACCTGCAAGGAAATCAGTTCACATTATTCATTAGAAAATTCAAATTTTAAATGGGTAGGGTGGAGTAGATGGTGTTTCACAGTGTTTCCCTGTACCCAAGCTCAAGATTGGGTGATAAAGTAGGTTTGGGAAAGAGTGAACGAGTGAGCCCATTCCGAGGGGCTTCTAGAACATGCTGTCAAAGCCAGGACTGGCATAAGTTGATTTCTGTTCTAATAACAAAGTAAACATAATATGCCAGTCAGCAAGGGACTGTGTACCAGGAAAAACTCCTCTTTTGTGAAGGCCTTGGAGGTCACTGCTTTAAATGGGGATCCGAGAAGTGATTTGTAATACTTAATTTTCATTTCAGTCTTTCTTTTTTGGTACTATGCCATTCTCGTTTGGGTTTTTACATACTTGTGACTTTCCTTTGCTTCCAGCTATTGTTCTGGTCAAGGCTAACTTAAGGTACCCTGTGGTCAAAGGGCATACATTTTTACACTGTGAAGTGTTGGTATTTGATACCTCTCTTCCCTCTCCACACGCCTGCACGCACGTCATCTAACCGTAAAACCAGAACAGCCCAAGATTCCACAGAGCTGTCTTTCACGTGAAACAAGGACAAGTATCGTCAAGTACATGTCTCAGAATTTTTGCATAACAGTCATTTCACACTTCTTTGCTGGAATATTTTTCACCTCTTTTCTTTTTAATTAATAAACCAAATTAAAAAATAATCAGTATTTTTAGTTCTATGTATTACTTCCTTTTGTCCTCCTCTCACAGCCATCTCTCCAGGGCCTAGTGTTGATTTTTTTGAAGTTTCCATCTGTTCTGTGGTCCACGTTTGCACTGGGTAATGGTCACCTCATCACGGAGAGCTGGCGCATGCGCGGAACACGTCTTTCTTTTTTCTCGTGGATGGACGCTGTCATTGTCCGTGTCTTCTCCCCAGCCCATGGGTCTATTTTGCTTGCCACCCTGCCTTTTCCACCTAGTCCTGACCATGTGTGTACGAGAACATTTGGAAACACCATTTACTTTTGCTTCCCCAAGTAACAAACACGAACTCTTAAGCACAAAATTTTATCTAACCAGAGCTTTTTAAAATATTACAGTACAATTTCCGAATTTGAAACCAGATTCTCCCCTCTGAGGGATCCAGAGTTGCTCCCAGCAGCCCGGGCGATGTGCCCTTGGCTGTGCACAGTCCCTCTGCCTCCCCGCCACACCCCAGGACAGCAGAGGGACAGGTCCCCAGTGCTAATTCTCTGCTGCCCCCCTGTGCCACAGACCAACACTGAAATAATGAAAATGCTTTCAGTACGTTAAACTATAAAGTTGGAATGTAGTCCGAAGTGATGTAAATTTTCCTGCACTTGGCCTTTGAAACCTTTTTCTTGAGTGTACGTGTGTCCCCATGTTCCCAGCTAAGGAATAATCTGGGTTAACATTGAACTATTTACTTACTGTCTGACGTCGAGATTTGAATTGCCCATTTGCTTATCTTTCTTCAGGGAAGAACTGCTAAAGCTTTAAGGTCTCTCCAGTTTACAAACCCAGGAAAGCAAACTGAATTTGCTGCGGAAACTGGGAAAAGGGAAAAGAGAAGGCTCACGAAAAACACGTCCGCTGGTCCAGACAGGTGGGCTGTGTCACGACTTGCCCTTCACATCTGCCTTATCCTTTATTTGTCTTTCTGAGTTTTCTGTATAAATATTTTAAATCAGGTAACAGGAAATTCGTAAAAAAAAAAACCTCCAGTGGTCTGTCTTGATTTTATTCATATAAAATTAAAGCATCTCTTTTAACTCAAGGTTTATTGCTAAGAAGGTAGCAATAAAGTGGGCAAGATATGGTGGAAACATACACCTGAGAATTGAGGTAATGCAAGTCTTGAAAGGCAGTGATGATATTTATCCATAGGTCTCAGCTCTGAGTAGCTGCCAGCAGGTAATTACACCATGGAAATGCAAGATTGCTTTCTATTTTTTGCATATCTGAAACAGAATCAGTTCTGTTACTATCAACAGAAATGAGTGGAAGAACTAAATTGTTTAAAATATGACTTAAATTGAACATTTCTAAAATACAAATAGCAAACAAATATTAGTAGTACAACATCCAGAATTATTTTTAAGTGCAATCTACATTTGCCTATGTCAAATTTATTCCATCTGTTAAAATTTTCCATTAAGTGATTTATATATTTGTAGCCTAGACTTTTTAGAGGCCATTAAGGAATAAGTGGGTTAATTACATTATAAGAACCAGAAAGTTAATACACTGTGACGAAAATAAAAATTTAATATTTAAAAAGCAGGAAGAGATTGGTAGCCAGTAAATGAGCTACTGTTAACTCTTTTTGTTCATAGTAAAGGAAAAAGCATTTTAACATAAATTAAACTCAGGTGGGGGAAGTTCTCGTTCGTTTTTTGTTGAGTGTTACAGTCAGGCATTCTGGGTCTCTCTCCACCCTTGGAGCTGGGTCACCTCTTGGGTGTAGAGTTAATTCGCTGATGGTAGAGGGGGCCGTACAGAGGCCTGGCAGATACCGCCTTTGCAGGACCTCATCCCTGGTCCGTATATTCTCTCAAACGCTTTTCGTTAACCTTCATGTCAGCTGCGATCCACAGACAGTGTGTGTGAGGTACAACCGATTGTGCTTCTCTTGCAGACAAGTCATACCAGCCAAGAGCAAGGTCTATGACAGCCAGGGTCTGCTGATCTTCAGCGGGATGGACCTCTGCGACTGCCTCGACGAGGACTGCTTGGGGTGTTTCTACGCATGCCCTGCCTGCGGGTCGACCAAATGTGGAGCTGAGTGCCGCTGTGACCGCAAGTGGCTCTATGAGCAAATAGAAATCGAAGGAGGAGAAATAATTCACAATAAACATGCTGGATAACTCATGTTACCGAACTGTGGGGTCTTTAAGGTCCTCTGTCTCTTTCTAAAATTCTGTTCCTCTTCAGATATATTTTAGGCCTTAGAGTCAAACAATAAAGATTTGCAAACCACCCCAGTGTGCAGTCAGTTGTATTCTGGGTGTCCTAAGACTCATGTGATGTAAATTCAGGTGGACCGTTTCCAGAGGTCAGTTTTAAGCCTGTGAGGGTCAGCGTAACTGTTAGGGCGTGGGCAGTCCACTTTGCACAGTTCCCCTGGGCACCACGTTCAGTGACCAGCTTTTAGCTGTAATAACACCAGCCTCTTAACTGTGATTCAGATACCAGATACTGCAGTATCAGCTGTTAACCACATGGATTTCTGGCTCACAGGCCCACAGATCACCTGGGTCAATAACAGCTTGATCTGACAGTAAGGGTCCAGTCATACTATTTTCAAATTCTCTCAGTGATTCATCCCTGTGTATCTGTTCCTTAGGTCACTCATAACAGCATTTACAAAGTTACGTCATTGTCACATAGGTGATGCTTTACAAAAGTGAATACTCAAAGAATTTGCCAACAAAGATGGAAGTGCAACAAAGGAATGAACATGGAGTGGAGTCTGGAATATAAATGGGGTTGTAGAAGCGTTGATAACTGCCCCTGTCCCTGAGATCATACATAGGCCTCTAGAGGGACTTGGTGAAGGCAGACTCACCAGAATAAGGAAAGTAGTTGTGATGAAGGTGTCTGTCTCCGAAGTGATCACAAAAAGCTTCACAGTCAGAGCATTTCCTGTGAGTAACCATGCACACCGTTGACAGCACAAACAATAAAATGGTGGAAGCCAATCCAAACTTAAAAGAAGGACAGGTTACTGTGGTGTACAAAAGATAGGTACTCAGCATCATTACTTAGCAAAAAGACCTAGCACCTCACTGGGCAGCGTAGCAACTTGGACCCTGTCTCAAAATAGAAATGCTGGAGCTGTAATTGGTGTAGAAGCCCTGGGTTCAGTCCCGAGTACTGGAGGAGAAAAGCTCTGTAATTCTCAATGATTAAGCTTTTATTTCCTTCTACATTTATAACTGATGAGTTTTTAATATTTGCAAAGGTTTTTAAATGTTGTGGGACAATCCTCATGTTCATGATTTATTTTCATGGTCCCACACTACCATACAAACGGGTCTATGTAACAGAAAAACGCCTATTTCAGGGAAAGCATCTCAAAGCTGGCTATCTGAATAATCTGTATGCCTAAATGCTAAATGATTTCTTCTGATTTCATATAAATGTTTTAGTGCTCAGTCTTTCAGTGTTTACAGTATGCATTCTTTGTGAAAATTTATTCTTGAGAACAAAAAACTGTAAAGCGGAAGTATACATACAATACCTAGACACACATTTTATCTGTGGCACTGAAATTATATGGGGGGATTAACTAGGATTAAGGGGTCTAAAAATGTTCCTTAAGAGCGATACGAAGTGGTGGAGAGGAGCTGGTTAAGATGGGGGGTGTCAATACATGTTTTGAACACTGAATCTTGGTGTAGGTGTTTGTATGGGCTTTGTTAGAACAGGACAGATAGTATCTTCCTTCTACACTTCATGTTTTTAAGTCATCTTCCTACCATGCAATTTTGTCTAAAAACTGTTATCACCTCAGACCTGTTTTGTTTTCTCTAAAATAGGATCTTAGTTAATCACATGAACTTTTAGCAAGTTTATAGTTGTTGAAACACTTGCCTTTTCATTACTGGGGATTAAACCCAGAACCTTCACACCAGCTGTATCCCTAGCCTTTTAAAATTTCTCTGTTTTGAGCAGTCTCACTGAGTCACCGTGTTGCCCAAGGTGGACTTGAACCTGTGATGATCCCCTTGCCTCCACTTCCCGGAGTGCCAGGAATGCACACGGGCTCCACCATGCTCAGCTGACTGAAACACTATACTGTCAATTTGAATTGACCACCAGAGGTCCATTTTTATATTTCTATTTTCTATCTCCTTCAGCACTGGCTTTACCATGTTATTTTCTTGTTCTTGGCTCCTTTTTGCCCCTCTGTTTAATCGTTTGCATTGCCTGATGGATTAATTCTGTTGGGATTCGTGGAATGGTAGTTCTTGTTATCTCTAGAAGGACCTTCAGAATACTTTGGAGTGCTAGTTGAGTGTTCGTGAATCTCCTCGGGTGTTCTTTGTCATGGAAGTATCTTATTTCTCCATCAATTTTGGAAGAGTTTTGCAGGGTACATCAGTCTGGGTTGGAGGTTGTTTGCTTCGGGGGCTTCAAATACTTCACCCCAAGCTCTCCTTGACTTGACGGTCTGTGTTGAGAAGTCTGGTGTGATTCTGATGGGCTTTCCTCTATAGGTAATGTTTCTTTTTGCTAATAGCTTTTAGTATTCTGTTCTTGTGTTGAATTTCTGGGATCTTGACTACTGTATGCCTTGGTATAGATTTTTGTATGTATGGCTGATTGAAGTTCTATATGTGTCACTTGTCCTTATGTCAAATTCTTTTCCCTGCCAGGGAAATTTTCTGCCATGACTTCTGTAAACAGGTCTTTTTATGTCATTTGTGCTCTCACCTGCTTTTTCATTGACTCCGATCAAACTTATGTTCTTCTCTGCATCATCTAGCAGCTGCTGGATTTTTCATGGTCCCTCACTATTTTTAAGAAATCTTTCTTTTCATAACCACTAACTGCATCCTATTCTTCTGTATCTGATATTCTGTCCTCACATTGGCTCATTCTGCTGCGTATACTTTCAGTGGAAATTTTAATCTGCATATCAATTTGTTTCATGGATTCCGTTTATTTCCTATGTTGGGCTTGCATGGTTTCCATCATTTTGCTAAGATCCTTTTTTTTTTTTTTTTTTAATCTGTATCTGCTCAAGAGTCAGTGCATGTTTTCACTATGGTCACCATCTCTTCAGGTATCTGAGAAGTTATTTCTGATTTGAGTTTTTCTAGAGCCTCATTCATTTGCTTTGTTATTTCCACTGTGACCACTTCAGAGAGTCCAGGTGGGTGGCTTTCAGATTGTTTATCTCATGCCCCCCTGGGTTTGCCCTTGGTGAGCTGGAAGTCTGGATGTTCCATCTTGTTTAAGTGTCTTCTCTTTTTTTTTAAATTCTTGGCTTGATGCTTGTAAATTGGCTGTGGCAAGTACCTTTATTGCTAGTATTTAGAATCCATAGGAAATGACTACTTCTCAGAGGTATCTTCCAGGTGTAGCTGGATTGTGGATTTTGAGTCTGCTGTAAGAGCCTACCTCCTCAGTTTGTTGGGATGAGAAGTTGCTGCCTGTCTGCCCAGCCCTTGGTTCTTAGAAACTGGCCTATAGTTTTTTTTATGACCCTTAGGCAACCTCAGTCTTGATAGACCAGAAAGAACAACTGTTTAGAGCAATGATGTCAGTTTGGCTAAAGTCGTACAATCAGCAGTATTAGTAGCATCAAAAACAGTCTAGAAAATGACAAACTGAGGTAACCATTAATTTGCCACCTTTAACTGTATAAACTACATTTGTGGTTATCTAACAAAATCTAAAACAAACCAGAAATTGTGTAAAGTTGACAAGCCCTCAATATAGCAGTTTTACCCTCAGGGAAGAACTCTATATTGAAATTTAAAAGGGGAGAAATTTAAAAGAGGTTAGGGGAAAAAATAGAGAAATAAAAGGGGAAGAGGTTAGAAGCAAGGCTGGAGGACAAGGAAGATCATGCAAACTGTGGAGAACTGGTGGAGAACAAGACAGGAGGGGAAGAGAAGGAAGGAAGAAGAACAGAATTGTACAGTAACAACAACCACCACAAAACCACAAACCATGATCATACTCATAAAAACAAGAAGAAGAACAAAAAAATGTCGTAGACAGCAGGGCACACAGTCTAGATCTGAGTTCATTAATCCCAGCAAGCGAGCTGTAGTTTTAGTCCCACTGAAGTTCAGGCTGTTTGTGGTCATGAGGCTGGACGCAGACCCATTCAACACGCAGCAGTCCACGCCCCAACCCCCAGCTTGAACTCAGCTCCCGGACTTGCTGCTGACTTGAGCTCAGCTCCCTCACCCTGACACTGGGAGCTGCTAGATGGAGCCGCCCCGTGGCTGGTCTGAGTGCCTCGCTCAGTTGGGCCCTCTCCAAGACAGCTCCCAGCCAGTCGCCTTCCCCTGGGGGATGTCTGAACCTGAATAACTCAGCAGCCACTGCAGTCTTCTGAGTCTGTTGTTCTGTTCCACGGCTGCCTTTCTCCCAGGAGGTCTTGGGGGTGGTCAGCAGGCACCGCGGTTCTGCAGGTTCGAGCTGCCCCTCCCATGCATGAGTCAAGGCTCAAGGAGAAAGTGGCACCTGCCACCTCCTCCTCCTTTGTTGAAGTCTCTCTGTTCTCGTGGGCGTCGATTCTTTTTTTTTTTTTTTCCCTGTACCAGGAATTGAACTCATGACCTTGTGCTTGCCAGGCAAGCACTGTGCAGCTGAGCTAAATCCCCAGCCCCCGGGGTTCAATTCTTGCTTCAGATCCTTCCTGGGTCCTTCTTTCTTGTCTTCCTCACACTGCTATATTCCAGTATCTGAACACCAAATCTTGGAGAGGCTCTTTCTCTACTGCTCACCACTCCGCCCTCTCCCTGAAAGCCCAGCACTGGTTTTACTATGATGGAATGCCATTTTCAGCTTCGCAATTTGTAACGCATTAGGTATAGTGTGCCCAAAACTCCTACATGTTCAGAGGTGGAGATTTTGAAAGGTGATTGGATCCTTTGGGCACCATGCTTTTCTTGAATTAATGCACTGATGAGTTAAGAGCTGGACTCGCTCTTAAGAGGTGGGGCTAGGCCTGCTGTAAGGAAGCAGACCCTGGGGTCATGACTGGAATTCTTGTCCTGAGCTTCTCCCTTCTCTCTCAGCTTCCTGGCTGTCATACAAAGCTTGAGCGCTTTTTTACCATGCTGTTCTGCCTGGGAGTTAGCCAAGTATAGACTGAAACTGTGACCCAAAATAAAACTTTTCCAGGAGATGGGTATCAGGTTCTTTGCCCCAGCAATGGGAAAATAGTAAGACATTTAAATGGCATGTCATTTACAATTTTTCATTAACCCGATTACCAGAAGATCAATTCCTTG